CTCAGCGTAGCAGGTGTGAGGGTCCCGAGCAGCTGGCTCCTCCACCAGGTTCAGAAAGACTGTCACTGTCACCTTCCCACTCAGAAGCCCAGCCCTCCATCCTGCCCAGCCTCGCCCCTCCCACAGGGCCTTCTGGGAGTGGGTGGAGGCCGTGCCAGGCTCAGCAGACAGGTCCCAGCAGGACCCTCCTACCCCGACACCCAGTACCTGCCCCATCCCCCCCAGGGCCCCAGTGCCAGGGTGGGCCAGGCCAGCGCCAGCCCGGAGAGCAGCAGTGAGGGGCCAATGGGCAGAGGCCGCCTTCTCCCAGACTCACCCCCCAGCAGGAAGTAGCAGCCGGTGAAGATCAGCAGTGGGACACTCTGAGCCAGGGAGCTGAGTAGCCCGCAGATCCAGCCGCACACGATGAGCACCAGGCTCAGGGGCAGGACCACCATGACAGTGCGGTGCAGCGCTGGGAGGCATGAGAGGGGAGGGGGCTTCAGGCTGGGGGCCAGGCCTTCCAGGGACTGCGGTGCAGCTCTGCAGTAGAGGGGTCAGCGTGCGGTGGTGGCAATCTCTCCCAGGGACCAAGAGCCCCAAGCTCCCTGGAGACCAGTGGCTGGACCGTACTCAAGCCCCTTCTGCTCCCACGATACTCCCCTGCCCCCTCTCTCCAGTGGCACAAACCCCAGCCAGTGGGTGGGTGATGCCCACCAGGAAGGCCTGTAACCCATTTAGGGAGACAGAGGAGGGTCCCAAGAGGAAGCCTCCCCCGGAGCTGTGTCCCCCACCACCAAATGGGATGGCAGTGGCCATTAAGAGGGTAACTGAGGCACAGAGCCGGTGGGTCAGTTGGGAGCCAGCACTGTGGTCCTGAGTCAGTAGCCGAGTGCAGCAGGGAGTTAAGGGTCAGCTGGGAGCAGCGTTGGGAGGGGTGGTGAGTCTGAACCCCACCACCTGTGACTGCAGGAAAGACGCAGGTGACCAGGACTCACAGATGAGGTGCTGCACAGAGGAGGACACATCCAGGGTCTCGGTGGCAAAGGGGTCAATGACAGGGATACAGCTGTTACGTCCTGGAAGACAGACAGTGCGGCTGGGGAACTGGGCTCCCACAGGGGAGCTCATCCCCCTGCACTTCTTGGAAAGGAGAGCTGGCACGCACGTCCCCCACCGAAGGTCACATAGCACTGGCCGGCCATCGGCCACCAACCTGAGGACACAGGCTCGTTCACAGTGGAACCTGGAGTCCAGGCTCCAGGAGCCCATCAACCTGGGCAGCGGGGCTTAGCAAGGAGAGGCTGGGTGTATACTTTGGAGGCTGGACAAGCAAGCCAGGAGGGAGCAGGGTGCAAGGGGTAGCCTCTGGGCTCATATCGTTCCTCCGTGGACTCCTCACCTTAGCCCCACTGGCCTGCCCCCGGGGTCCTGGGGGTTACCGGGAGCTACTCCCAAAGTTCTCCCTTTGGGCTTCACAGATGTGTTACTTTGCTATGGCTAAGACCTCCACCCCAGCCCATAGGAACCTGTGGCAAAGTCCAGACAATGGGACCCCTGGGACACCCCCCTCCATCCCCCGTCCCTGAAGGTGGCTGTGTCCCCGTCTGTGGGATTTCTTCCTGTGTCTCCAGGCTGCAGACAGGCCAGTGGTTGGCTGGACACCCCTCTCCCAACTCAAAAGAGCTCATTGTTATTTTCTCTGGAATTCCACAAGCCAAGTGGTCAGGCCGGACAGGAGAGGAGTGTTCGCACCATCGGAATCTGTGGAGCCGACAACCCAAGACTGCTTTCCTCTGGAGAGCGGGGTGGGAAGCACTGGGTGGGCTGCCCCAGCCCGCCCAGATCCAACATTTCACATAGCCCAAGGGTGTCAAACTGGTGGCCCCAGGGCCGCATGTGGCCCCCGAGGTCATTTTTTGTGGCCCACAATGCTCTGAAATAAAATGAAAATAGAAAAATTGTTATGAAGAAAATAGCGTTTAGGGGAGATCGAGGCAATACACACAATTCCCTTGTCACATTTTATTTCAGAGTATCGTGGGCCACCAAAAATTGCCTCAGGAGCTGCATGCGGCCGTGGGTCGCCAGTTTGACACCCCTGACATAGCCACCCCAAACTTGCTCCTGACCAATTTGACTTCTCCCAAGATGCCCTACCGCTTGCAAGGAAGTCCACTCAGATCCCAACGGAAGGGGGAGTCTCTCAGAAGTCCCGTGCTGCTTATTTTCATGTACAGATGCCTGCACGTAGGCTAGCCTCAAACACCCAAACCCACCAAGACATTGGAAAGAGGTGAATGCTGTTGTCTACATAATCCTGGCGTCACCGTGACCGACTGACTGACTGACGGACAGACAAGTGCATGCCGGGACAGAAAGGACACACAGGGTGAATGGGAGCGGGAGGGACAGTGGCGTACAGGCAAACAGAGAGAGAGGTGTCATAGAGGACACTGACATCTGTGTATTTAACTGTGTAGTGGCAAACATCCCCATAACTGTGATGGAGCACCCAGGGGGCAGGAGTGAATCCCCCCACATCTTGAGGGAATGAGTCTCTGGGCCTGGGGGCTCAGATCATAGTCTCAGGGGGCACCAAGATCAATGGCCCAACATAGCTCCCCTCTCCCCAGGAAAGTGTTCTACATCCTCCTCTGGGGAGTGTCCAGTGGGGTCTTCCGTGGACGGTGCAGCCAGGGCTCTCTCCCGCCCGCCCGGAGCAGAGAAGAGAGATGGGCACGGAAGGTGCGCGGGAACACTGGGTCAGCAGCCCCTGGACCATCAGAACCTCAGCACCACAGCCCTGAGCGGAGGGGGACTGGGTGGTGCCCGGCTCCCAAGACCTGCTGCTCTGAAAGGGAACACGTGAGAGAGCCTGGGGCAGCTAGGGAGAAACAGATAAAACAAAACTCAAAACCCTAAAAGAGGATCCAGCTTGCTGGGGCGGGGTGGGATGGGGACAGCTGGTGAGACACCCCCCCCCAAGACTGGTCCTCAGTCCCCCCTCAAGTCTGCAACAGAACTCCTCCATAGACAGGTGGCTGAATAGACAGGTCTCACCCCAGGAGGAAGAATAACACTAGGAGGTGTGTTCCTGGGGCATTTGAGATGTGAGGGGCAGCCTTTGCTCAAGGACAGAGCTCCAGAGGTCAGGGGAGAAGGGGATGGAGACAGGGAGCCGGGAGGAAATGGGATGGAGGATGTCACATTTCATGGGAGGATTATTATCCAGGACGTGAAACAAGCTAAGCCTGAAATGTTGAATGGAGACCTGAACTGCTCTGTAAACCTTCACCCACAACACACACACACACACACACACACACAC